ACTGCTGAATCATGGAACAAGAGTGCCACATAGTAGCGACTGCAGGCATCACATGATACAAGAACAATAATATGACTGGCCACAAGAGGCCTAGCCTCTCTCTTCCATTGGCCTACAAGATTTAAACACACACCCAGGAAGTCGAAAACCACTCCCCCCACACAGGTATGTAAGCATAAACAACTAACAATACTTTAGAAGTTATTCTTGAGAAGTCAGAAGTTATTCTTGAGAAGTCAGAAGTTATTCTTGACAGGATTTGCGTATTAACTACTGTTGTACGAGATTTCCTTGAATACTTCTCCAGTCGTTTATTTTGCTTTATTGTTGGACCTGTTTTGTTTGACGTTTTGCTATTAAAACGAAACGACCATCTACCGGCTGCTTCCACTCCTTGCCTGAAGACACCTCACACAGCAAGAATCTTTCAATATCTAACACAATAATTTAAAGAAAAAATTACTGCTATGTGCAGTATTTTATCTGAAATTTATTTATATAAAAGTACAGTATTTTACAGGTACTGGTACTAGAGCAGAACAGGAATTTTCCACAAAGCAATGACCCACTGGTGAAAGTCATCCAAAGTCACACATTTCACAAGAGACCATTTATAAGTAGCAAGATATAAAACAAAAATAGCACTAATGAGCAGATCAAGAATTTGAAGTGAAATGACAAAAAAAAAAATTCAAATACAGACTGTAGATAAGAATGATTCCAATCTTAGAGGAGTGCTGAGTGGACAGGCCTGGCATAGCCATCAGCCACTGTCACTGCCTGGTATATGGACTTCTGCATGACCAGATGACTGCAAGTTAATAAATGAAGGTATAAATTGCCATGTTCAGCTGTCTTTCCACACACCTCTGAGAAACTCAGTAAAAAGACAACAGGAGCAGAAGTAATTTTAAGATCACCAGACTCCGTTCATCCATTCAGCACCTAAAAAAGTGTTTGAGGAAAGTGTTTTAAGCTCAGAATTTTTTTTGTCCTGGCTGTAGTTCATAAAACACATATGTTTGCTTATCATAAGAAAGAACTGAATCACAGTCCAAATATTGGTTCTCCATTAATAGTCAAAAGGGATCATTTCCATGAAGTATCATGCTGAGATCAAACACTGCAAAAGCAAACATTCCTGTGAGGTCTGTGCAGAAACCCTGTAGTCAAGAGCTCAGGAAAAACCCATAGGACTGTCCACTTCACATGACCATGCCCAAGAGTTGACCCAACTCACCCACAACCACACAAACACATACACACAGATACACACCAACACACACCAACATTTTTAGTTCCTCAGGCAAACTCTCTCTCCTGCCGCTGAAGCCTGGAGCAATGTTTTGCTAAACCCGCTGGCCTACATAGGCAGAGAGAATCCCCAGAGGGCTGAACAATCAGACAATTTCAAGATCATAAAGCATTAAACCAATCCCGGCAGGGTACACTAATTAAACAGCCGAGCCCGGCACAGCCAACCAATCCCCACAGAGCAATTAAATCCATCCCTTCTAAAACACTGTGGAACCTGTCTGGGGAAAAGACAGAGGAGTGAGAGAAAGAGGGAGGGTAGAGAACGGGAGTGCAGGGGAGGAAAATATCATAAAACGATCTGAAAAAAAAAAACAGTAGGAAAAAAAAGTATAGGGAAAATACAGCAGGAGGCTAATGAGGAAAACTGAAAAAAAAAAATAATTTACACACTTCTTTGTTCTTTTCTTTAGTGTTAGGATTTATAATGTATTTTTTCAGTCTGCTGCGGCAAAACTGAAGAGAGATTGTGACCATATATATATTTTAGTATAACTGCAGCCGTGTTGTGATCAAAAGTTGCATATTTAATTAAGATTACAAGGTCTGATAAGCACTTGTGGGGCTGAGGGGAGAGACAGCATCACCTCAAGGCCTGTACTGCACAGTGGCAGCGCTGCTAAGACAGTTGCAAACCATAATCAATAGCTTGATGGCCTCCACGAGAAAAGTAAATGAACAGGTGACAATGGAGGTGTGACATCACTGAGCTTCACAGAACAACAAACCAATTACAGGGTGAGGATGGAGACAGAGGATGGTTTCAGTGCATGGCTTTATATCCTACATACTGTACAGCCTAAATACTGTATACTCACCAATCACTACATTAGGTAATACCTGCAGGTCGGACTCCCATCTACTGTACGTTTAGAATGGCTTTATTTCCTAACAGAAACGCATCACACAGTTGCTGCAGATTTGTCAGCTGCACATTTGTGATACATTGTGACGTGCTTCAGCGGAATAAGGTCTAGTAATTGTGGAAACAATGTATACTCCTGCTGGGCGTGTGGATATTAATAAATGGACTTGGAGGTCTAACGTCTAGCGACAACAAAGTGCCCACTTTTTACCAGCACCACCAGCTGCCAAAGTCCAACTGCGTCAAAGTTCAACAGTTTGGTTTGAGACATTATTTGTAGTGAGACAGGTATTACACTTGGTGTGAAGTAAGTGTACCGTATTTTCTGTACTATAAGGCACACTTAAAATCCTTAAATCTTCTCAAAAATCGACAGTGCGCTTTATAACCCGGTGCGCCTTATGTATTAATTCTGGTTGCGCTTACTGACCTCGAACCGGTTTTATAATGCCAAACCACACAGCGCATCACACATGATGGCACACAACTGAAGCACACTGGGAGCCAACAATGACGTTTAACTCTGTTATCACAATGGTGCGATGCAGGACGACTCAATTGTTTCGTGGTCAAGACCTCTTTTTATTTCTCCTTTTTTATCGATACAGGAAGAACACACTCTCTCTCTCTCTCTGCAAAACAACATCCGCACTTCCGCACGGAGCAGTGTCAAAACAACAAGAGCAACACCATTCACACAAGACAGTAAAAAGAGAAAACACTGAAGCAACGAATGATTCTAAATGTTTAAATAATTATGGTGGTATTACTTTTGAATATATATTAGGTAAGACAATGGCATACGCGTTCGATCTGTGTTCAGTAATTAATTGCAAACATTTGAACTACACTTACAAACATTATGACATATATGTGTGTTTTCATTATTATGTCCATAGCCAATGTGAAGAGAATCAGCTGCCCCGTAGAGGATGGTGTAGAAATTGGAACATGGTAGTAGGGTATACAGGTCAATGGATTCCCACAATGTCAGTTGGAAATGTGTACAGAGACATTTGGGATCAAGTGAAAATCCAACGTGAATATTCCACCACCCAAAATCCGATCATTATTTCCCTGAATTGGACTAAATCACCAAGGGGGAGTAATTGGAAACTCTCTGGTAAAACAAATCAAACTGAAATATATTTGGTCCTTGGAGTAGATCAGACTGGAACAGATCAAATGGGATTCATTAGAGTAGTAATTAGGAATGAAATAACGAAACATGACACAACTTTGTCAACATCCATAACTCAATCTTCCGGTGAAGGGATGGAAATCATAACCGAAGATTATACTCAAACCACAGGTAAAAATGTGGAGGTCATAGCCATAAATTACACTAGATTAACGCCTAAAGACATCATGACCATGGCAACGGGGTATACAACTGAAAATTTGTGGTTAAAATGGTTAATGAACACTGCAAAAGAGAATGGTGCTGATGATTGTGTTGCATGTGCTTCTGCAAGACCACAGCTGTTTACAGAGCCAGCCCCATTATTCCCAAATGATACCTGGGGATATAACTGTATGTTAAAATTGACACATGAAGCTACCCCTCTAAATTGCACTACACTAGCATCAATCAGGACAAATCAGGACACACACACACACACACACACACGCGCAAATTTAAATATTGGATTTTTTGTTCATTTTTGCTTTTCAAATGTAATATTTTATTTTCTATTTATTCATCAAATGTTTTCCAGAATATATTGCTCAATAATTACCCTTTGTGTTTAATAATGCGAGTATGTAATCAACAGTTTTGTATCACAGCATTAGATCCTTCGCTCCGATGCCTTTTGTTTCTGACCATCCATCACTTGCATCGTCGAATACTCCTTCAGCTCTAAAAATCCACTAATATCCTTTCCTTCTACCAAAGCCCTGATGCTTTTACATCACACAGAAAAGTCATGGATGAAAGAATAACACTACATGGAGTGATAACCTATCAAAGCCGTTACAGCACAGAGTAAAAGGGGGCAGGGCGGTGGGATTTACTGCAAGCCTGGTAAAATGAACAAGAAAGGACTGGAGCTCGATACGTCTTCAGTCTGCAGATGTCAGAGGCGCTGCTTTATACAGAAGACAATATTAAAAAGCTGAAACAGGCAGCAGCGCAGAGGTAGAATAATGACAAGGATTTTATCACTCATTAGCTGCAACAATTAGTCAATCAATACAGCATTTAATCATATTTCCCTGTCCAAAAATACCAGTTGCTGGTGCTTAGATAAAGAGAGAGGCTTGGTTTATTTTTAACAGGCATTACTGATTTTCTTTTTCTCAAGAAATCTCAGATCGTGGCATTTAAGGCTGCCTTTCCAAACTCTGGCCTGGGGAAAATTCAGGGACGCTGAATAGTTGTCTGTGGTCCACACATTCCTTGTATGATTTTGACACTATTTTGGGCATTGTGGGTACCTTTCAGGGTAAAGCTGTCACTTGACTTATTATTATAAATTTTACTCAGTTGTAGCTATGTTTAGTTTAGAATATATTGATTTTTTTTTTGTTTACTTTTCAGGGAATTCTTTACGTTCTCTACCATGTTCTTAGAAATAAGCTAGCTGTAGCATCACAGTGTCTTGTCTATAATGCTGCAGTAACTAACAACAACCAATCTGACAGCTGCTAGCTGAGATACTTGATTGCGACCCACCCACACGTGAAATAAAAAATGATTTACAGAGTCTTTTGTCCCATGATATGTATGTGATGCGGTCGAAAAAAATAACTAGCATATACCACCACTGCGCTAACAGAGAGGCAGAAGTACAGTACATAAAATATATCAAAAGCCGACATGGAACATCTGCATGACTTTGATCTGGTGAGAAAAAAAAAACTACATGAAACATCTTTACACTGCAACTTGTGGCTTGGATATTGAGGGCCCATCAGGTGCACAATCAAAGCTACAGACAAAAATACAAGCAGAGCCAAAAGCTCATCACACAGCAGTGTGAAGAACACGAGCACTAACCAAAGCCAAATGATTGGATAGGTATTGAAATCTGCTTGAAGGACAATGAATGACAGGCCTAGTCTTCCTGTGAGAAACTTTTAGCGTAGCCATCTCTAAACCCATTTGTCATTCCACTTCCAACCCTGAGGCTTTCACTTTGAAGTCTCTACCACTAATGCTACGCAAAGAGGTTTAACAGCTTAATGCTTCAGTCTGCCTCATTCTCCTCCTCCTCTAAAGTTTGTTGCCTTTTTAACGCAGAGAGGTTACGGCTGCTGGAAGTTTGCACGTCTCAATTTTGCCTCTACATGTTCGTGTAAAAGCAAATATTTCCATTCTATTTGCATTGTTGTCTCTGTCGAAAGTTTGAAGGGGGAGGGAGAGGGACCTGAAGGATAGGAGAGGCACGACAGACATGCCCCACCCTTTTATTCACAGGAGCAAAATTAATAAAAAGCCTGTGCAGGAACATTAATATAAAAGGTGACAGAAACCACCGGTGAGTATGACGATGATGATATGACAGCTTTTACATTCACGCACAGCACTTTTATATCCATTACTGCGTATGAATTAAATGATACAGTCATTATGATAAATAATCCGAGAAATGAGGAGCTGTGAACTGACTTTCTCTGCACTACAATGAGATTAGAGCCGTGCATCTGACATGAACAATATCAGCAAACAAACAAATGTGAAAGCATGAATGGAAGGCAGACACAGACTGATTTTCACAGGCAATTTCAGACTCACAGTGTGTGTGTGTGCCGATATACTGGCACACAGCACACAGAGCAGCCTGGCAGCGAAAGGCAGCCACGGCTTGCAGGTTGCAAAGCAATTTCACTGTTTGGCAATACTGTTGTCTCTGTGTGTGGATTAGAGTTGACACCAGAGCAAGTGAGTCATGCTAAATGTAATACAATCACTGAGCTTTTGTTCCCCTAAAACCCTGCTGCCTTTACGATTTGTGGCAGAGAGAAGGAGAGAGAGAGAGAGGGAACAAGGCTGAGAAATGGCAACAAATAAGAAGCACAATTTTCTCCCCCACCATAGAACAAAAAGCCGAGGTAGGGGCAATAACAGGGGAGGGGGGAGAAAAGGCATGGGATGAAAACTTTACTGAACCCCCAATCATCTGGTCTACTTTAACTTTAATTTTTAAAAAGTAAGTAGTTTGATATCAGAACCCAGTAATTAGCTGTTTAGGTCACTGCCCACCATATCCACTAAACCCTCAGTCTGTCAGGACAATGTCATCAAAAGGCTGAAAAATGTGGGTTAGAAACCTGACCACTTTAGACAGACTGTGAAGTTCTGACAGCAAAATCTAAGTAGTTACAGGATCTTCTGGCCTGTTAGTAAAAGAAAACAGGAATCCGAAACAGTGTTTGCTGTTATGTAGGTAAACAGTCTCGCTGTGCTCAAAATGTAAATACTTTTGTGGGGGCGCTGCGGAGGTTAGCGCTCAGCTGCAGCAGGGAGAGCACAGGAGTGGCAACACAGGTGCAGCCCCGCACGCAAGTGAGCGCAATTCGAGTAATCAAGCCTCTCCCTATATTAGTAGGAGCCAGGACAGAGGAGGGAGAGCGGACAGAGAAGTGCGTGCTGGCTCAGCGACGAGACAAGGTGCAGCGGAAAAACCAAGCACGGTGCAGGAGCGCATTATATTATTGTCAAATAAAGTCTATTTCACCGTCATCTGTGTCAGCGTGTGAGTCAAGGGTGAACCCACGTGTTACAACTTTCTACAGTCCATGGTTCACTATAAAAGTAACAGATGTTTGATTAAAGGATTTTTTTTAAAAATGTGTCATTACTGACATTGAGTTTTCACAGATCTACCATGTCCAGGGTTAGGGTATTACAGGACAACAGGCTCAAATAAACCATGACCATAATCAGACTGTAATTCTACCAGTTTGGTTTGGCTACGCTTTTTATCAGCTGACTGTTAAAAAAAGTCTTTGTAAAGACACAATGATCTTTCTCCCCCTCTTTCACTCTCCCTCTCTATTCAGGTACTGTACTGGCCCGGAGTTGTTTCTGCGCCTAGCAGGACCTGGCAGGACAAACCCTGACCCGTCCTTTTCATGCCCACCCACAGAAATGCCATTTGGTCGGTGTGAATGATTACCACAGCATCGGCCAGGTGACCTGCAGCCAGCAGGAACCAAGGTCACTCCACCTCAGCGCACTTTCCCTGCCCTCTTTTCATCAGCCTGCAAGTAAATTATTCATCTTGCTCCAACACGGAGCCACAAATCTGCAGCACCAATACCTTAACTGCACACTCAAAGTCTGCTGATATAATAGCTCATAATTAGAAAATAAACGTTCCAGTGTGAACTACCCCCCAGATACAGTGGAACCTCAAGATACCAGCATTATCCGTTCTAGGATCTTGTAACTCGAGGTGCTCGTATCTCGAATCATGTTTTCCCATAAGAAATAACAGAAAATACGTACGTAGACACTTGATTCCGTAGCGTACCTTACATGTACACTACGTAACTTAGAATTAACTTAACTTACGTATTTTTTTTTTTTTTTTGCTTTACTATTTTTTATTTTTTCGATTTGTTTATCCATCATCCTCCGCTTATCCGCAGTCGGGTGGCGGGGGTAACAGTCAGAGCAGGGACGCCCAAACTTCCTTCTCCCCAGACACTTCCTCCAGCTCTTCTGGGGGATCCCGATGCGTTCCTAGGACAGCCGAGCGACGTAGTTGCTCCAGCATGTCCCGGGTCTTCCTCTGGGTCTCCTTTTTCGATTTGTATTCTTTCTTTAGCAGGCACTATGCTCATATTTATCGACAATTTCACGCTTTATTTCCATGGTCATCATGCGTTTCTTCTTCTCACTACCATCCTTACCACTCACTTTCTTAGGACTCATCACTGTTATGAAGAATAATGCACAAAATAGACAATGCACAAAAGAGGAAAAATCACATAGATAACAAACAACACGGAAGACTCGCGGGAGATGCATACTGATGTCGATGGACATGTGAAGTGAACGAGTGAAGTGGCGTGGGCTGCTCTGAGTGCTCGGCCACCTAGCGTCAGCGTCTGTAAGCGTGCTCGTATCTCGAGTCTTTTACGCGTATCTCAAAGCAAAAATTTACTCGGTGGCTTGCTCGTCTCTCGTATGTCGAGGTGCTCGTATCTCGAGGTTCCACTGTACAGTGCATCCGAAAAGTATTCACAGCACTTCACTTTTTCCACATTATGTTACAGCTTTATTCCAAAATGGATTCAATTCATTTGTTTCTCAAAATTCTACACACAACACCCTATAATGACAATTAAAAAAGGTTTTTGAAATTGTTGCAAAATTTATTAAAAATAAAAAGCCTGAGAAATCACTTTTGACTTATGATGCTACAAGTTTGTTTCACTCATTCCTCTTTGCAGTACCTTTCAAGCTCCATCAGGTTGGATGGGAAGCGTCGGTGCACAGCCATGTGTGTGCTTAGGGTCATTGCTGCTGAAAGATGAACTGTCACCCCAATCTGAGGTCAAGAGCGCTCTGGAGCAGGTTTTCATCCAGGATGTCTCTGTACATTGCTGAATTAATCTCTCCCTCTATACTGACTAGTCTTCCAGTTCCTGCTGCTGAAAAACATCCCTACAGCATGATGCTGCCATCACCATGCTTCACTGTAGGGATGGTATTGGCCTGGTTTTCTCCAAACGTAACGCCTGGCATTCACTCCAAAGAGTTCAATTTTTGTCTCATCAGACCAGAGAATTTTGTTTCTCGTGGTCTGAGAGTGCCTTTTGGCAAACTCCAGGTGGGTTGCCATGTGCCTTTTACTAAGGAGTGGCTTTTCGCTGGCCACTCTACCATACAGGCCTGATTGGTGGATTGCTGCAGAGATGGTTGTCCTTCTGGAAGGCTCTCCTCTCTCCACAGAGGAATGCTGGGGCTCTGACAGAGTGACCATCAGGTTATCGGTCACCTCCCTGACTAAGGCCCTTCTCTCCAGATCACTCAGCTTAGATGGCTGGCCAACTCTAGGAAGAGTCCTGGTGGTTCCAAACTTCTGCCACTTATGGATGATGGAGGCCACTGTGCTCACTGGAACTTTCAAAGCAGCAGAATTTTTTCTGTAACCTTCCCCAGCCTTGTGCCTTGAGACAATCCTGTCTCAGAGGTCTACATACAATTCCTTGGTTTTCATGCTTGGTTTGTGCTTTGACATGCACTGTCAACCCTGGGACCTTATATAGACAGGTGTGTGCCTTTCCAAATCATGTCCAATCAACTGAATTTACCACAGGTGGATTCCAATTAAGTTGCTGAAACAGCTCAAGGATGATCAGTGGAAACAGAATATACCTGAGCTAAATTTTGAGCTTCACAGCAAAGGCTGTGAATACTTATGTACATGTGATTTCTCAGGTTTTTTATTTTTAATAAATTTGCAACAATTTCAAAAATACTTTTTTAACATTGTCATTATGGGGTGTTGTGTGTAGAATTTTGATGAAAAAAATGAATTTAATTTATTTAGGAGTAAGGCTGTAACATAAAATGTGGGAAAAGTGAAGAATTGTGAATACTTTCGTATGCACTGTATATGTTACTGTTTAAGACAGCATCATCATTGTTGTCATCACTATCATCATCATTATCTTCTTTTTCTTCTGACTTTTGCAGACAGTATTGCTCACTCCTGAACTTTATTTGCAAGTTTGTAGTTGATAATTCATTGATTAATCGACTAACTATTGCAAAACCCAAAGTCTAATGAATAGTGTTTATTACAACATGTGTGTCCAAAGGTTTTAAATTATATAGTACATGTCTGGTGTTTATTTTATTTGACTTTATTGGGTTCATAAAAATAACTTTATGTTTACTAAAAACAATAATCTGACAAGACAAAAAAGCTGATTAAGGACGGATGAGAAATATTCATACACTCTTTTTTTCATTTTAAACACTTCAATATTAGGTCTCAGCAAATAAATCCATCCATCCATCCATTTTCATCCGCTTATCCGTTACCGGGTCGCAGGGGCAGCAGTCGCCACCCAAATCACATTGCACCGTACCAACCCCCCAAACCTTCCTGCGGGTGGTGAGTCCACTGGAAGGTACCAACCGCCCTAACCGGGATTCAAACTTGCCCAGGAGGTGAACCCTGGGGTTCCACACCAATGACAGAGACATTGCCTCTGGGCCAAAGCGCCACCAGCAAATAAATTTAAAGCTGAATTTGCAATAAATTAGTTAAATATTTTCTTATCAATGAATTTATTATTTTAATGTTTAGAAAAATGCTTAAATGTAGTAAAGCTGGCAAGAATATAACATTTAAGAATGGGTTTATGTAAAGAAGAAGAAATGAATCAATACAACTAGTCTATTTAGTTTGTCACAGACAGTGATAGGAATAAAGGCGTTACTTTTTCAGTAACGGGTAATCAAACTAATTACTTTATCGTTATATCGCCGTTACTGTCACCAACACGCCGTTACTGCCCGTTACTGAAGCTACTCATTGAAGCTGTCATCTGACTTGACTCACACAGACACAGGAGCTGCAAATGTGTGTGTTCTTCCCTATGGTGGGTGTTTACACACAAACCCAGCACACAGCAGCAGCACACACACAAACTGTCAGAGATGACGAATACAGGCACTACTTTAACCTTGTCGAGGTAAAAGGTAATAATGTGCATTTTCAGTGAACATTATGTACCAGAGCAAAGAGTTTGTCCACGTCCGGTGTAAGCAGCTCCAATTTAATCTCGACCGCAGACGCTTCTACTATGTTGACAACCAGTGTTGTCCGGGAAGTCCGGGAACCAGTGTTGACAAGTCCGGGAAAAAAAGTACATAAAATAAATAATAT